AAAAAAAAATTATTAATGTGATGAAAAATATTATTTTATTGAAGAATGTGTGGTTAAAAATGAGAATTGATTTACTGTAGAAAAATCTAAATCCTTCTCAAATAGGGCCTTAATCTCGAGTCCAATAAACTGCACATAGCAACCATGTTGTGGCTAGGATTCAAAGAAAATCTTGTTCAGTAATCACTTTCCTCAGATAGCAACCATTTAATATTCCAATTTAAAGTAGAACTCATGAACCATTCAAACCAAAAATGAACTTAAAATTCTTAAATTGACCATATGATTACAAATACATATTAGTGAGATCGTGACTGATTCCAAATTAATTTGATATTAAATAACAATCCTATTTTATTTGAGTTAATTTCATTTGACTTTAAGAACCAATTGATTTTTTGTTAAATTCCTGTGATGATGGATGAAATCAACTGTATTTTATTTATATATTTCTTTTACCTTTCCTTTATTTGGACACGAAGTCACAAGACAGATCACCAGAATATGAGTAGAATGGCACTTGTGGTGGCATATATATATATATGGTTGGGGTTGGCAGCATAGTAATCTTTGCCTGTTGGCATCATTTGCTTCAATATCAAAAATCATACTGCACTCTGTGTGGTCCTCCACCTCTTTCTTTTTCTATCAATATGGTCCATGTCCAAAGAAATTTTTAAAGAAAAGACAGACATGGTCCCCTAAATTATCTCTTTTTTTTTTTTTTTTTTTTTTTTGTGGGTAAGTCCGATGATTGATTCCATATTCAAGTCTAGAATAACAACTCATAAATTTACATTTTTGGATATTTTATATCCAATTTTGAATGGATCTAATCTATCGACAGTCTTGATCCCCTCTATAAGCCCCCAATCTACTGTTGAGATATCATGTCCCGAACTTCATATCAACTTGGTTATCACCTAATAAATTTTGGACATTTACGTACATCCTATTTTCTTGGCAAATAGGAAGACGTCAATGTGTAATATGTCGAGTTGTCAAAAAATTTGATGACGCCACCTAACTTTCTATGAAGATATGATGTGTTATTATGTCAAAAAATATTTTAAAGGGGACAACATGTTAGCCCCTTTTGAGCCTCATTCTTTAAAACTCGTTTTTTTTTCAAATTTATTTTAAATTATATATTTTTTCAATAAAATAATCTATACTTAAATCTAAAATTTTTCCTTCATTTTAACCACTAATTATAAAAAAATCGATATTATAAAATATATTCCCCTATAAATGAAACTCAAAAAAACCTTAAACTCCTAATGTAACGGTACATAATGTCATGGAAGCGTATATACGTGATTTTCTTTTGCATTTTTTTTATTACTTGTTTAAATGAGAAAGTCACAGCCCAACCAAAAGTGGGCTCCAATCAAGCATGTGACTTCATTGAGTTTATAAGGAACAATTATTACTTCACAAGCAACTGCTCTCTTGCAGAAGACAAGAAGCAAGCAGGAAAAAAAATTATATAACAATTTTGAACGCAGGAAACTATGTCATTTCAAATATTAGATAAAGGAGGTAGGGGTGCAAAGACAATCATATTTAATTTATTTGATCAGAACAATGTATAATCCCTCGAAAACATAAAATAATTTGGTGTAGATAGCACAAAAATAATTGCGATTCATATTTTTAACTATTAAATGGATAATTTAGGTAGAACTGGAAAAAATCTCCGAGTAAAAAAAATTGAGATAAATAATATCAGAAGGGGCAAAAATCTAGAAAAGTTTGGTGCTTGGTACAAGGGAAAAATGATTGCCAAATATCTATTTACAACCCACAAATTTGTGTCTCCAAAGCCCCTTATCTTTCCCATTTCTCTCTCTCTCTCTCTCTCTCTTCCTCCCTAATCCCATTTGTTCGCGAAACAAGAGTTAGACAGAGAAAGAAAGGTAGAGAAGATCAACAAAGAGTGTTTTCGTTGCCATGGCATTTGCAGGAACAACCCAGAAATGCATGGCATGCGACAAGACTGTGTATTTGGTTGACAAGTTAACAGCAGATAATAGAGTCTACCACAAAGCTTGTTTTAGATGTCATCACTGCAAGGGAACCCTCAAGGTTAGTTTGAAACTGTGTATGAAATTTTTTATCACAATCTCACTCTTTTAAGAATGGATCTTTGATTCTGAATTTGGCCTTCAAGTATAGATACTTGATTGGATATTGAAGATTGAGTTTAAGTATAGCTTTTAAATCTAGATTTTAATCTATAACAAACAAGGAATAAATATATAGTTTAAGCTTTTAAATGAAGTGATTTAAGTTTGATATCAGAGCTCGAAAATGTTTGGAATTCAAGTCTTGTCACCAACATATGGCTCTTGTGTGAGTTTAAGCTTTTAGATGAGGTGGCGGTTCAAAGCGGAAATATCTTTTTGTTCTTATGCATAATTTGGACCTTCCTTTTCAGTTTATTATTCATTCTGGATTGGATAAATGTTACATAAGACCAATGCGTCCCATTAACATAACGTTCGCAATTGATAATATCCAGTTTCATCATCGGAACTTGAGAATATACAAAAAATTTTGTTAATCTGTGGCTTAATTGCAGCTTGGCAACTATAATTCCTTCGAGGGAGTTCTGTATTGCAGGCCACACTTTGATCAACTCTTCAAAAGAACTGGCAGCCTCGACAAAAGCTTTGAAGGTAAATAGGGAGAAATAAGAGCACTAGATTTAGATGTTTTGCTCGAAACATTTACTGTACGATTCATAAGCTCTATTGGATAGTATTGTATGATCCAATCATGTGCGATAGTGCATACTAATGATGCTCTCCTTAACGTTTCCAGGAACACCTAAAATTGCAAAACCAGAGAAACCAGTTGACACCGAGGTAAGATTCCTCATTCACACGCTCCATTTATATACAAACCACAAAATCCAAAATAGCTATTGTGAATTTTCATTCTCAAATGCTTGCCAATATTCGGTACATGGATTCATAATCAATCTCCTATTCATGATGTTTGATACAGAAACCTTTGACTAACAAAGTTTCAAGTATGTTTGGTGGAACCAGAGAAAAATGTGTGGGTTGCAAGAATACTGTCTATCCAACTGAGAAGGTAATAACTTGTATCTTTTGAATCCGGTGGACCACATGATACACCTAATCTCTATTTTAAATCATTGAGCTCGCGTCTAGCTAACACATACAATATATTTCACATTATGTTTGGTATGTAAGCAAAGGGGAAATTATGAGCGATTCTGATAATTTTCTCACATCACAAATGTGTACAGGTGTCAGTGAATGGAACTGCATACCACAAGAGCTGTTTCAAATGCACCCATGGAGGATGCGTCATCAGTCCATCAAACTACATTGCACACGAGGGGCGTCTTTACTGCAAACACCATCATATCCAACTCATCAAGGAGAAAGGCAACTTAAGCCAGCTAGAGGGTGATCACGAGAAGAATCTGGTAGGAACAGGTGTTATGGCTGCAGAAAAATAAACCGATGAGGATGTAATATCTCCTGGTTTTGCTTTTCTGCCTTGTTTTCTTTTTTCCACCTCTGTATTGGTGTACTACTTCTGGAGTTAAACTGGATTTCATGGAGTCAAGAATGAGTTTATGCATAAAAGAGAGTGAATTCTGTATTCCGATTTCTGAGTGCGCTGGCTGGCTTTTCATTGATACTCTTGGGTCATATCATAAATATAAATGCTTGATTAAATTTCAAGTTACCCATGTTGATATTACAAGTGATGATTTTGTATTGCAGCTGCTAAATCTTTTTATTATCATCTTTGAGTTTCGGAACTCTGAATTTCATTGAAGCGACAGAATCTGCTCATCTTATGGAAATTTGCTTCTTCACGTAGCAAAATAGATATTGATGAACAAGATAGAGACATATGGAATATGTAGAAGGTGTCGAAGATAAAATTTAAATCCATAAATGCGTCTCATTTCTAACATCTTAAGCTTTTGGAAGAGGTCAAGATCTTGAATTCAAACTTTGTTGCTAGCCCATTCGTAAGTTGAGTATAAAAAATAAATTCCACTTTAGTCTCCATAGGAGGAATAAGTTTTTCTGTTATCCTCTATGATCTCGCCGAGTCCAACATAGCAAACATGCCATGTATCTTTAAGCCGTTCAAGTTTATAAGTTCATAAAGATCCAACTGAAATGATCCATTTGGTAGTAAACTATAAGAAGACCGTAATATGTATTTATGAGTGATTTCTTGTAGGCTAAGGATATAATGCTTGACGCTTTACAAATCATTTGGATTTCAAGACAACTTGAGAGTTGAGAATTTACTTATCATCGAATTTTCTGCAATCCATAGTTGCTATCTGGAAGATTCAAATCGTGGAAAGTCATTGCTCTCGCGAGTTTGATCAATTGATCTCCTCCTATCTCTATGATGGCTTAAATTTCGTCGGTGAAGATTCGACTTGCCATCAGCCACCTGATCAACACCCTCAAAAATCTGGCCCAATAAGTCCTCAAGTAATTCAGGTGACATATTGGACTTGACATCCAAAAATGATGAATAATTGCTGATAAACTCAGTATATGCGGGCAGCACAAGCCCAACAGAGGCAACTTTCATCTGTTCTCTCAAATCTGCATCAGAAATAATGCTGTAAGTGCTTCTATGCCTTTGGCACATCTCATCAAATCCAACCATGAAAGCATCCATTTTCCCTCTTATTAGAGCTCCAATGCCATCTTTATTGGCTCTCTTACTTTCTTCTGTGTCGAGCAATCTCCCAAGAGTCCCCCAAGCTTGCTTCTGATACAAGTTAGCGGATTCCTCGGCAACTTGTCTATACCTTTTCTTCATGTATTGCTCTCCCAATAGCTTCCCGAGTTCTGTGTTACGAGTCCTCATGTAAATGTACCAATACGTGTTCATCGCAAAGATATGTGGGAGTACTTTGTCCTTGTAAAATGATTTCTTGGTTTCGATGTTCCTTTGGATCGCTTCCATGACATTGGAAATAGCATCTTTGAGTAAATTTTCGTCACTCTCGGGTGTTGAAAGTATGCCAGCTTTCCATAATTGATCAGTCCTGAGTACTTGTGCCATTGGTGCAGTGTAACTATCCACTGCGAGGTTTTTGAGGTAGTTGATAGAATATCGAACAAGTTTAGGAACTGAACCGTCAGGGGGTGGAGGCAAACCATCTTGATTGCTTTCGATTTGAAGCCCGAACTCCCAAAAGACCTTAGTCGATGAATGGACTAGGAGTTTCTTGAGTTCTCTAAATCGAGAACAAATATCAGCTCCTGCTTCGCCTTCAAAAATCTCCGAAAACTCAGGTTTAAGCTTTTCTAATGAATCAAACATGTCTAAAAGCTTAAACAACTTTTGGGGTTCTTTGTTACTTCTTGCAACACCTTCTCCAAATCGAAAGAAGACAGCCATGATTTTATCAGCAATCTTAACGAAACATTCGGGCCATACCATTCCTTCCATGATGTTTCCTAGTACATGGTTACACAAGTCCTTTTCTGATACAAACACTACTTTGACAGCAAGTTCAAAGTGTTGGATCCAAAGGGCAATTGCCGTCTCTAAACTTTCCCATTCCATTTCATCGATTTCTTCCGGAGTGTACGTTTTCAGGTAATCCGGGCTTAATCTCATCAATGCTTTGGCTGCCCTTCTATATCTAGCCTGTTGAACGTTTGAGGGAAAAGCGTAGCATTAGAAGCTTTCGACAACATTTTTACCAGAAAAAAACACAAATAATCAGAACTACGACTCTCAATAGTAACGCAATGACAACTCATATTTACTCCATGATTTAATCAAAGAGTCAAAAGAGTAGCTACTTTCAAAGAGTTCTTTCCGAACTGATTGTCTCTCAGTAATCGTCATATTGATCTTCAGATATTAATTGCACTCACAAGATCACAACCATACCAAATCTTTTACTATATTAAATTCATATCACAAGATTTGAATAAGATTTATGCTGAGAGGGTATCACAACCCCCCTTTACCAAGATTGAGCCTGGCTGTGAAAAATAAAGGTGGATAAGTACGAGGATTTGACTCGACTATATCAAATAGTCAAAACTTAGGTACAATATTACTCGTACGGGATAGTATTATATAAAGACAGTATAACTTGTCAATTAAGCAAAAAAAGCTTGAGCCTTTGAATTGTAAGTATATGCTGAGCAATTAGTCTTACCTTGACGAAGATATCGATACAAATATCCAGACAATCATTGGCAGCCAATGTCTCTGATATTCGTCTAAGAACTTCGATCTCCAACTCAGTACCCAGTTTTTCGGGCACCATTCCAGTCATATTATCCCCTATGTTCTGATGCCTTAACTGCTGTGACAAGCTCTCATACTCATCCTGCAAATTCAACAAAGCTTCATCAAGAAGCCCATCAAATCTCATTGAGTCGACCTCTGTCTCATATAGTGCTTTGAGAGTAATCAAAGTCTCCCTAAAACGAAGCGTTCTGTACTGATCAGTGGCTTTAGTCCTGCTCAAAAACTCAACCACTTCTTGCAGCTTTCGAATTGCGGGCTCACTCTCTTGGCTTATGGAAGTCAAGGCCACGTTTAAATCATCCACGCAAGCCACGTACTCGATCAACTTCTTGAGCCTGTTTTTGGAGGTTTTTTCGTTAATCAATTTCGAGGCTATGTCAAGAAGCTTACGCTGGAGGGACTCGGAGAGTTTGAAGCTCTCAAGGAGGGCAAGAGCCGGAGAAATGGCTCGGTTTATTCTAGTTTGGAGAGCTTTAGCCCCAATGGATAGTGATTGTAAAGGTGCAACTCTTCTTGATGCCATTGTTAAGCTTTCTTGTATGGTATCAAAATTTTCATCCATTTTTTCCAAGCTTTTTTCAAGGTTTGTCGAATTCTGGAGAAGGGTTTTGATATGAGAACATGCTAGTTGCAGCTCATCAAGAACTGGATCATCTACATTTGTGATCAACTCCATTGAAACTGCGTGTTTCTGTGTGTGTATTGAGGTGTAATTTAGTTTTACATTTATTGATCAAATACATGGTTTTAGGAGGAAAAGTTTGAGGCAGAATGGAATAGGACAAAAGGACGTGTTCAATGACTAGATTTCGATGTATACTAAGAGCATATGGCATTTAGGATTGGAACAAGACAAAAAATGATTTCAGTCCTAATATAACAGCCGGTTTTATTGAATGAGTCCAAAAGGTAAGAGGTTTGATGAAGAAACATATTAATGTGCTTTGTTACAATGGATCTACACGAAGAGAATAGTCCGAAAATAATATATATAAGATAATTTGATGCTGGAGTATAAACTTTCAAGAATACAAAAGTAATTGATCTCATGAGTATTTGATTGCTTTCTTTTATAAATTTTAAGATCCTACTGTTTGAATGAGGAAGCAGAATTATTCAAAAATTAAAAAAAATTCTATAATTCAATGAATAAGATCATCTAGAAATTTAAGTGTATGTTATAATAAGAATAAATTATTCGATTTTTTTAAATCTAAATTTGACGATTGATTCCTCAATTAATTCTGAATCACAAACTTCCAGCTTTTTGAATCACAAGCTTCCAGCTTTTTAATTCCAAGAACTTGATGCTTCAAACATCCAAGTCTTCTATGGTATTCTCTAAAATTTAGATTGCATGTGTGAGTCGGCACATTCTCTTGGTTAAATCAATCAACTAATTTTTGGATTGGATAATAAAAAACAAAAATAAAAAATAATTTTCTCACTTTTTCTCCCTCTCCAATTGAACGCTATAGAACTATCTATTATGATCATTCTAAGATTTCTATGTCCATCTAGTCTATATTTATAGAGATAAAGATGTTCCAATTCATGTACAGTAATAATTTCAATTTTTAATATGAGTTTTAATTAAAGTTCACATTCAATTAGTTTATATTTAATTGCATGTGTAGTCATAGAACTTCAATTACAATTGTAATGATGTTTACAATTTTTATAGTAATTACAACTAAATAAAAAACTTTATTGTAATTACAATTAAGTTCAAAACTATTATAATTACTGTAATTAAATCTCAATACTTTATAGAGAAACCACAAGGACCTGATCGGACGTATATTATCCAAGCTCCAATAAGTAGATCATGTCTAGTCAATTTTAGACCTCACAATCTAATTATTAATCTTTATTTTCTCAACTAAAAGCAAAAGACTGAACTCTCAGAATATATAAGATCATAGAAGCTAATAAATTTGTTATGTTTTTCTCTGACTTGCCATATATGTATTTTATTCCCGTTCGAGATTCGATAATTAGGTACGAGTATAAATAATTATTTTGTCCCTCTAACTATTTGATCAATCAAATTGATCTTACCTATTGGTGAATCAAAGAACTATTAAAGTCACGAAAAAGATATACATAATCCTGTCAAGAGATTTAGATGAAATACATGACAATCAAGTGGAATTTAATTCTTCGCATTGTCATGCTATAGAATCAAATTCGACATGCGGTCCGTTCAATACACTCTAAGTTTACTAGTATCACCTTTAACTATTTCTGTGATAATGACAAATTACAAATCCAAATAGTGGATTGGTCAACACTACAACCTTCCAATACAATATGTCAACCCTTATATATTGGTTGTGAACAAATTATTTATGATCAAAATATAAGTTGTGCCGCACTGTACTTTTCAACGCAAGTACCCAACTTATTTTATTACCAGTGATCACAGACACTTTAATTCGCATGCTCAATAATAAATGAATGCAATAAATAAATAAAATCACAACTTATTTATTATACATTATTATTTTATCATAGCAAAATATACTATATAGGCACACAATCCAATAAATCTCCCACATGCCCTAGAGTGTATGTGTTATATCTTGCAACCTCATGTCTTTCATATGTCCCTCGAAAACCTTAGCCGACAAGAAGTCCGAATACTTTTAACCCATCGAAATGAGATCTGGTGATAAGCATATTATTCCTTGTTCTCCGAATGTACTAAAGGATATTCTTTATCACCATTCAATGCTTCGATCTTAGGGTTAAAATAGATCTCGATTCACTATACCAGCAGTGTGACAAATGTCAAATCTATTGCACAGCATAGCATACATGAGGCTACTTACTGCCAACACATAAGTTATCCTACTCATATACTCAATTTATTTAAAAGTCTTAGGGGACTGATCTTTAGAGAGTAGGATTCGATACCTGAAGGACAGAATCTTGCATAGTAAATCTGACAAGTATCTTGTCAACATACGAGAATTGGGATAATTATTATCTTGTTCTTTCGATCTCTCAAGATCTGAAACCTAGAACATAGCTAGCTTCACTGAGGCCTTCATATGAAACTAATGGGCCAACCAAGCTTTTGTAGACGATAATAGACACATATTATTTTTAATGAGTAGAATATCATCTAGATAAGAACCAGGAAAAATACAATGTTGTTTTGTATCTTCTTATAAACACATGGTTTATCAAAGTCCTGATTAAAACCATATGCCTTAATTACTTTGTCAAGTCTCTTATTTCAAGATCTCGATGTCTACTTCAATCCATCAATAGATCATTGCATCCACATCATCCATAGCCTCCTTATATGAAATCAAATCATCAACTTGTACCATGGAGATTACCAGATTAGACTCTCCATTCAACAAGTATCGTGAAGATAAACTAATAATCATGTGACTTCATTTAAGTAGCAATTGATCTTGGATTGTGGCTTCATTTGGAATGTAATATTTTTATCAATGCTGGCATTACCATTAGGTAACACAATTACCTCATCATTACCTTCAACGTTATATTGATCTATTAGATCAAATGATAGCTTATCTATCTCACTCAAATCACGTTGTCCAGGTATATTTGACACTATGAGATGTCTGCCCCAAATTGCATTCCAGGCACCTTATTCTTAGACTGACGATCATTAATATACTTATCCTCCAGGAATGTTGCATTTGTGCTAATAAAGACCTTCATAACTAGAGGACTATAAAAACTTATCCATTAATATCTTTAGGGTATCCCACAAACAGACATATTCTATCCTAGACTCCTACTTCTCTACTTTTCCTTTCAACACATGAGCTAAACTCCCAAATTTTGGATGTGATGCAAGCAAGACTTGAATACATTCCAAAATTTTGGAGAGTCTTGAGAACAGACTTAGAAGGGACTAAATTAATAATATATCCAACTATTTTCAATGTATATCCCAAACTGATATAAGTAGAGTTGTAAAACTCTTCATTGACCTAACCATATCCAACAATGTCATGTTTCTTCTTTTTGAAATGCCATTCTATTGTGGTGTACCAGACATTCTATTAAGAAACAATACAATTTCCTATCAAGTTTTCCCTGAATTCTCCCGAGAGATAGTTGTCACTTCAATCAGATCAAAGTGTTTTAATATTCTTACCCAAATGTTTCTCGACCTTAGTCTTATACTCTATTGATTTCTCAAAATATATTTGACTTTCAAGCCATCAGGTAAATGAATTTGAATCTAGTATAATCATCTGTAAAGAAATATTCATAGTTCTCCCTCTTAAGTGGATTCACAGGTCTACACATATCACAATAAACTAGTTCTAATACATCTCGGCTCTATCCTTTTTTTTTTTTTCAAAAAAGGTTATCTTGGTCATATTACCCTCCAAACAAGAATCATAAACTTACAATGGTTCGATCTTAACCGGATTGAAAGGATCATCTCTAGTCAGTTTTTTGTATTTTGCTAAAGTATATTTGTTTAAGACACCATAAATATGTATCACTAGTATGGTGCGGCTTTTTATGGTTTTCATGAGTAACCTTTTTATTTCATATGTAGAATAGTTTAAAATATAAAGATCATTAATTAAATGTCCAGCACAAATATAACTTTATTCATTAAAAAGATAAGCAGATCAGATGCTGATTTTTTTGAATAACCTTGTCCTATTAAATTGAAAACAGAAATCAAATTTATGTTTCATTCGTGAGACATAATAACAGTGTTTAAAAATCAAATGTCTACCACTACTGAAATAAAAACAAAATACTCCTATGCTTGAAACTTTTGTTCTTTTGCCACGATGATTTTTAAATTAGCCTTTATTAAGTTTTTTTGCTTTCTTGAAGCGCCCTAATCAACATGCAGATATGATTAGTGGATCCAATATCTACAACTCAGGAAATTGTAGTATCAACCACTAAACAATACTCGGTAAAGAAAAACCCCGGCCACGTTTTGCTTTCTAGCTAGTGCATCTGGGTAGTCTTTCTCCAATGTCCTTTTTGACCGTAGTTGGAACACTTGCCTCAAGGCTTTCAATCTACTTTTGGTCTTTTTTTGGTCTCATGCTTTTTGATAGCATTCTTTCTCTTATTCCAAATATGCCTTTTGGCTTGGAACCAAAAGAGCCCCTAAATGATGCACGAGCATCACCATTGTACACTTAAGACTATTTTTCATATTACAACTCTATCATCAACTCAGTTAATGGTATATTGTTCTTATGTAAGTGATAGTCCACAATAAACTGTAAAAGAATATCAAATAAGAAATTTAATACCATGTTCAACTGAGTCTCCTTGATAGATGGTTGCACCCAGACTCTAGCCATGTTTGAAGTGTACAATCATAGTCAAACTATGAAAACTTCACGGGCACTCTTGATTTCATGCAGATGTTCTATAAGGTACGAATGGCTTCAAAAGAGCATTTCTACTTCGATGACTAAACATGCCTAAAGGGCATGTAGTATGTCTATGAGGTACTCTGAATTTCAAGCTTTGTTGCAACATGTTTGACATCAAAGTTAAAATGTAACAGTGAGTCATTTTGTCTGCAGTCACCTACTTAGAATACACAATCCTTTTAGACTTATCACATGGTCTCAGTAGCACCATCAGGAAAAAAGGTATGTTTGAGGTTATCAACTAATAGAATATTTTCAATAGAGAGAG